AGTAGGAGTAGGAGTAGGAGTAGGAGTAGGAGTAGGAGTAGGAGTAGTAGGAGTAGGAGTAGTAGTAGTAGTAGTAGTGGTAGTGGTAGTGGTAGTGGTAGTGGTAGTGGTAGTGGTAGTGGTAGTAGTAGTCCTTGTGACACCTGTGAGCCTGTCATCATTGTCGACGTGGATCATCTGGCGCTGCAACGGCCTCAACAAAGTGCCAAAAGTCAAATACCAACACTGGGACCTAAACAAAGTTGAGCATCATGTGGAGCACATTTCAATAGAAAATGAAAAAGGATGGCCACTCTGAGATCCAGGCATTGAAGTTTCCCATGGCCCCATCACCCACTAAACCCCATCACCGATTTAAATTGCAAATTGCCACTTGAAAGTTGAATTGCGCCAATTGCCAATTGAAAATTAAAACAAAACAATGAAAAATAGCAGCAGTGAGCAAGAAGGCCGGGCAAGAGTAGCAGCAAAAAGGGGAAAAACTTGGTGCACTTTTGGAGGGTCTGTTTTAAGGAAAATGTGTTTACTGACTGTTACAGCTATTAGGCAAGACCCAACGTATACATTACATAGCACATCTTTCTCTCTCTGTCTCTCTCTCTCTCTCTCCCTTAAATGTCAGCCCAAGAGCATCGGGATGCTCGAGCGGGACGCCAGCCCAGAGGAGAGTTTGACAAAGCTCCAGGGCCTCTGCAACTTCACTGTGCTGTCAAGGAGACTCGGCCAACGGATGAAAATCTACGTGGCTACGTGGTGGCTACGTATGGCTACGCGTGGAAGATGTCACCACATCAACACCTTGATGCCAAATACGCGAAAGCAAGCCAATTTGACGCTGCAATGCTTTGCATGTTGCTTTCTTGTCAAAGAACAGCGTCTACGCTGCCAATGACACATAATGACACCAACCTTTGCCGCCTCTTCATCTTCTCCATATCGTGCAGCAGCAAAGAATAACAAAGTCTGCTGCATTACGGTCTTCAAGTGGCCTGGTACAGTCAACGGGGAGTAAGCACGCACTGAGGCGGAGTAAGCGTAGGGTACCGGGTAAGGGTACACATCCTTTAATTGAAAACTGCACAAGAGGATCAAGAGATTGAGATGCGGCTAAGATGCATTGGTTTGACGCCACCAATGCCGCCACATGTTGGCGGGCTTTCACGAAGGGGGCGTCCTTAGGATTCAAAACACTCTTTTGCAAACGGGACATGCTTCACATGAAAAAAAACAAACCTGGATACAAACCTAAACCGTGCTGTCTTTCTTGGATTGTTGCGTTGAAGAAAGTTAAGGTCAAGAACGAATTCGGCGCATGCCTTTTTGACTCTCAAATAGTGTCATGTTCACACGTCCCAAAACGAGAAGGAACCTGAGAGCTTTGCAGTGAATCCGAGTAGCCCGCACAGTAAGAAACATGTCATCTTTGTTGAGCCTTATCGTTGCACGCCCGACTGGCATGGCCGTTTGAAAACAACCGAATCAACGGAGCGCAAGCGCTCCTTGGACCCAATCTGCGGTCAAACTGTGGCGCTGGCGACCAAATGGAGTCCACTTGCTCAGTGTCACTTAGCGTCTCTTTGTTGAAAAGGTACTGCTCTCCGAAACGGCTGGGCTAGGCCAGCTGGGCTGTTCTATTTTTGTGCTCCTTTGTGTCCTCCTAGAACCAAATAGTGCTGATTGGGGAAACCTCCTTGAATCAAATTCGGGTTGGATTGATGTAGATAAAGGATGAGGCGAAGTGGATCTCGTTCACCAAGTTCAGATCTTTCCGCATGGTGATGCAGTATGAGGGACAGTCAAACAGTAGAGTAGTTGCGAAACGGCTTGGCTTCCCATTTGGACATCAAACGGATCAAACGGATCTCGAGCAGCTCAGAGGAAAATAGTGCAACGGCCCAGCGTTTCACTTCCCGTCGGAAATGGGAATGGTCGTCCGGAGGGGGTGGCAGGCCAGTTCCATCCGTCACCGGCCTCATTGGTGACGTCCATCCAGGCCACTTGTAGAGGGTCAGGCCCCCAGCGCATCTTAAACCTGAAGTGGTACCTCCCCCGGCGCTGGACCCGAACCCGGTTTGGGACCGAATCGCCGAGCGGGACCGGAGTCAGGCTGAGTCGTAGGTCGACCGAGGTAACCGAGTCGTCCGCTTGGTCCGAGCGGATTCGGGCGCACGTTCCGGGCAACGGAAATTTGCTGCGCACATCCTGAGGATCGGCGAGGCGACGGGGGGAGTCGGTGCGGGGGGGGGGGTTCAGGACGGGAAGCTAGGGAAGCCAGCCAAGCTAGGTCGTGGACCGGGTGGGTTTCGGTGCAACGGTGTCCCAGAAAACGCATCACTCGAAGAGGAACCGAGCTCAACCAACATCAGGATCTCTAGATCACCTCCGTCCACGTTTTTCAAGGGAAAGGACCGACATCATCGCTTAGAATCAGTGTCGTCATTCATCACCAATTCTCAGCTCACCACATGAGAGTCTGCCAACACGTACGTCTAGTAGAGGACACGATTTAGCAAAGGGTATCGCCAGTTATCGCTTTTGAGGGAAGCCTATCGCTTTTGCCATGCTCTGAGCCGGTTTGAGCCCCACTTCCTAACAAAAGTCTAGACGAGCGCCGCCAAAAAAATCCTTCGTCACGTTTCAGGGCGGTTGCTCAACATTCGTCGGTCGTCAAACAACATTCCCCTCCTGCAGCATCACCTGACCCTCCGGCTTCAGCACCGGGAAGGCGTTCGGCATCTCAGCCTCCAGGATTCGCCACGCTCGGAGTTCGCGCGGCCCAGCGGTGAACGGGGCGGTGCCATTGGTGTTCAGGCAAATAGGCCGATGTCGCCATCTGAATGCCATAGAGTGTTTGATGGATTTTGGAGCAACAACTCCTTCCGGATGCTTTTTTGTCGGATCTGAAACGGCTTCAGACTCTCCTCATCGCCATCTCCCGGGATGTGGTAGAAGACCAAGATCGGTCGAGCCTTCGAAAACGGCGAACGAAGCGATTGTCCGACAACGAGGTGCTCACTGAAGTTTTCAGAAGTGATCCCACACCAACCACAAGCATCCCACAAAACCTTGGAACCGACCCCAACCTTTGAATCCCACACATCTCTATTAGGAAGTTCCGACTTGACTCATGACATCTCATGACTCATGAACTACGGAAAACATGATCAAGACCATGCCACGCCACTGGACCTGTCAATTTGCTTGGACCTGTCATTGACATGCTGGGCAAGATCGACTCTGGCCGCCTGAGCGGACCGACCACTCATGGCCTGCGGTGCCCGGCAGGTGGCCGGTCGCACGTGGCTCGTCTTCGTCGATGGAAACGAGAGCAAACTCGTGTGTCCAGTCGACGGATGGAACCCGAATGCAAACACTCAACACCATTTTCGACACTCTCTTAGGGGACACTCTTGTGGGACATTCCTGTAGGACACATTCCATTCGGAAAGCTTTGTGGGACACTCTTGTGCACTCTTGTGGAACATCTTGCATGACACTCACTCTTCTGCGAAATTCTCGCGAAACAGTCTTGTAGGAGACTCTTGTGGGACACTCTCGTAGGACACTCTTGTCCGACACTCTTGCGGGACACTCTGGTCGGGCGCTCTTGTGGGACATATTTGTGGGGCACTCTTGTAGGACACTCTTGCCGGACACTCTTATGGAACACCCTTGTGGGACACTATCGCGGGACACTCTCGTCGGATGCTCTTGTGGGTCATTTCAAACCTGCAAAACGACCGCTTCGTACGAGACTTCCTCCAGAACTCACGCGCCAATCCTTCACAACGAGAGCTTCGTGCGAGACTTCCTCAAAAACTCACGCTTCGAGCTTCGAGTCTGCAAAACGAGCGTTTCGTACGAGACTTCCTCCTAAAGTCCAGCCTTTCGCGCGGAGGAAGTCTAGCGGGAACCTCCATCGAACACACACATCAAGCAGCCCTGCCAAGCAGTTTCGCGATTCCAGCCCCTCCAAACAACGCCCGCTCACACGCGAGTCCCAATATGTCACAGCGAATTCACCTCCACCACAACTCGCAACCTCACGATTTTCTGCGCCTGCCACGAAACTTTCCGCCTCCACACGTCTAACGCAACCTCACGATTCCCAGCGCCTGCCACGAAAATCGCACTTCCATACCATACCTCAAAACCCGCACAAAGTCCTGCACCTGCCACGCAAAGTGACAATATCATATCATGTGAGCTGCAACAAACCTTGCGCCACACCACACAATGACATTTGGAACGACTGCGACACGTTCTGAGCACACTCCCATCAGCCAAAATCACCATTTCAGCTGAGACCTGTAACGAAAACACAGCTTTGGCAAAACACCTTGAAACGCAAATCCCAATGTCACAGCCACACCCAACACCCCAAAAACACAACCCTCCAAACGCCAATCCCAATGTGACTACGCAGAAAACTGCGGATCTCACAAAACGCTGCGCTTGCGCAGTGAAATCATCCTCCACACTTCAACATCTTACGTTTCCACACGACTCCTCGCTATTTCACACGAATCTGACACGTTGCGCTTCCACGCAAAGCCCTCTCCAAAAGCTTTCCCCCAATGGCAGCGTCTTAGCGCCCTACTGCGAACGGCGGCGGACGGTTGCGGTTGCCCCAGAGTTAAACGAGAACCCTTCGCTACGCATTAAAACACGGTCACACCTTCAATTTAAAGGACAGAGAGAGATAAAAACAAGGTGGACCCGGAGAACCCAAGCAAAACGGCCTGAGCAATTCCAAAAGCAGAAGTAAACGGAATCATGAAGGCCACAGCAATGAACGCTCTGTTTCCCGGCTCGTGCTCGCGCATCCCCGGTTCCTTCCTTCCCCCACCTCCACCAGCATTTCCTGCGCCTACACAGCGTCCCCCGTTTCCCAGCTCGTGCTCGCGCATCCCTGGTTCCCTTCCCCCACCTCCACCGGCATTTCCCGCGCCTGGCTCATGCTCGCGCATCCCCGTTCCCTTCCTTCCCCGCATCTCCCGCAGCGTCTCCCATTTCACGGCTCGCGCTCGCGCATCCCCGGTTCCCTTCCTTCCCCCACCTCCACTGGCATTTCCCGCACCTACACAGTGCCCCCCGTTTCCCAGCTCGTGCTCACGCATCCCGGCTCCCTTCCTTTCCCCCACCTCCACCCGCATTTCCGATGCTTTTGGGAAAAACACGAACCCGAACGCAAACACGGACTCGAAAACTAACAATTCTCGACGCTCATGGGACACTCTTGTAGAACACATTCCATTCGGAAAGCTTTGTGGGACACTCTTGTGCGCTCTTGTGGAACATCTTGCATGACACTCACTCTTCTGCGAAATTCTCGCGAAACAGTCTTGTAGGAGACTCTTGTAGGACACTCCTATATTACGACACTCTGGTGGGACGCCCTTGCGGAACACTCTTCTAGGACACTCTTGTGGACATCCTTGCAGGGCACTCTTGTGGGACACTCTTGTAGGACACTTTTGTGGGGCACTCTTGCCGGACACCCTCGTCGGACACTCTTGCGGGACACTCTTGTGGGACACTCTTGTTTGCCACTCTTGTGGGACACTCTTGTATGACACTCCCTTTTGCGGGGCACTCTTGCAGAACACTCTTGTAGGACACTCTTGGGGGGGGACTCTTGTAGGAAATTCTTGCGGTACACTCTTGCAAGACACTCTTGTGGGACACTCTTGTAAGGACACTTCTGTCGGACATTCTTGTGGGACACTTTTGCGGAACACTCTTGTATATAGGACTCTCTTGTGGGACACTCTTAGATTACAATCACACTCTTGTGGGACGCTCTCGCGGAACGCTCTTGTAGGACACTCTTGTGGAACACTTTTGCGGAACACGCTTGCAGGACACTTTTGTGGGTCCTGTAGAACACTTTTGTGGGGCACTCTTGTATGGCACTCTTGCCGTACATTCTTGCGACATTCTTGTGGGACACTCTTGTATGACACTGTCTCTTGCGGGGCGCTCTTGCGGAACACTCTTGTAGGACACTCTGGCGACACACTCTTGTCGGACACTCTTGTGGGACACTCTTGTAGGGCACTCTTGTGGGGCATTCTCGTGGGACACTCTTGCGGGACACTCTTGTGGGACTCTTGCAGGACACTTGACACTCTCGTATGTCACTCTTGTGGTAGGACACTCTTGCCGGACACTCTTGTTGAACTGTTGGACAGTCTTGTGGGACACTTCTGTGGGGCAGTCTTGTAAGACACTCTTGCTCTTGTGGGACACTCTCGTGGGACACTCTTGTAAGGGACGACTAAAGTCTCCAAAAGTCAACTGTCACGTTTCCAGGACAAGCGTTTCGCGCGAGACTTCTTCCAAAATTCACTTGTCAAGTCTCCAAAACGAGCGCTTCGTACGAGACGTCCTCCAAGAGTCACGCGTCAAGTCTCCAAAACAAGCATTTCGTACGAGACTTCGTCAAAGTCTCCAAAACGAGCATTTCGCACGAGGCCATGTACAAAAATGCGCACGGCGCCACAACGAGAG